ATGTGCTCTCACCAGCTGAGCCATCCTGCCACCTGTTGGCAGCTCAGCAGCAGCTCAGCTCGGGTGCAGCTCACTGGCCCATGTGGGAATTGAACTGGCGACCCTGTTGTTCAGAGCTTGCGCTCTTAACCAACTGAGCCACTTGGCTGGCCCCCAAGTGACTCTTTAGGGCCCCTCTTTCCCCTCTTTTCTCTCCTTTCCTAATCTCTAGGGTTATGACATCAAAGAGGTGACTATATTTAAATATAAGTTAAATAAAAATAAAAATTCAACTCCCCACGCACACCAGCCACATTCCAAGGATTCATTCAGTAGGCACATATGGCAACTGGCTACCATAAGGGACAGCACAGATACAGAATATTTCCTTTTTCATAGAAAATTCTACTGGATGCACTGCTTCTGAGATCTCTATCCTCTAGTCTCTATCCCTTCCTTAGAAAGTTTCATTTTTATCTCTCTCCACCCCAAATCCTCTTTTTTTTTTTTATTTGTCAGAAAAATGCTGTGTCACAACCTAACATAATGTCTGCAGGGATAAGCTAGTAGAAATTACAGTGTTTGAAAACAGTTGTTAAGTAAAGAAATACAGTTAATAAATCATCCCAAGGAAAAACGCACAGCCTCACTAGCAATTAAAGAAATGAAAGTTAAAATAACCCTGCCACACCATTACATACTGTCTAGACTAGGAAAAATGTGTAAAAATGATGGACTGTGATACTGGCAACACTGTGGAGAAAGAGGCACCATTACATACTGCTAGCCATCCTGGCAATTAGGTATTTCCTCCTGAAGAACCATCTGGAACTATGTTACACGAACTATAAAACCATTTTCTGATTGAATAATTTCACTCAATGACTACTACTTATTTATTTACTTAATAGCTGGTGTGAGGCATCATATTGATACTTATTGAGACTTTTTAAAAAAAATGTGCTTTTCACAACAATCCTATGAGGTAGGTAGGAATCCTTATCTGCATTTTTAAAATCAGCAAACTCTTAAGTTCACAGATGTTAGGTAAGATATCCAGAGTAAAAAAGAGCATGGAAGTTGCTGCACCAGGATTCAGTCTCAGATCTCATGATCTAGGACCTAGATTCTAGGAAGACCTGCCCAGAGTACCACTTTGCCTCCAATTTCTGAGAATTTTCTCCAAGGGAATGGCACAATTGGGGCGAGGGGAAACATTATACAAAAATATACATATTAAGGTAATTACTACAAAAGGGACAATTGGAAAAAGCACACAGGAGACAACGTAAGTTGAGCCTGGCACATAGTAGGCTCTGGCCCTTTAAAAGTCAGAAGCGTGTTAAGAGAGAAAGGAGGTGGGTTATGATGCTGACGTAAAAAGCTTCGTGCCTCATTTAAATGAGCATGCGTAAAGGTTCGCCCTCGTTCCTCCGCCACGTTCCTGCAGTCGTTGCGCGTGCGCCACCTGAACCCTGAGAGGGCTCTCGGCTCCTCCCGCTTATTTAAGAAGGCGGAGACAGTCGCGTGAGTTCGGTAGTGCTACATTCTCCCGCGCAATTACCCATCCCCTCCCATTTTCGCACATGCGCATACTTCAGCACTGGGCATAGAGATTGATGAATGGCTCCTGGGGTTGCGCTTGCGCTCTGGGTGGCCCTACCGGAAGTGGGCGGAATCGTGTTACAAGCCAAAGGGCGGAGGGAGAAAGCGCTGCAAAGGTGAGTGTAGCTGAATTTGGCAACTGTGCCAAATGCTCCGCTACAAAATTACTAAATCTAGAAATTTAAAGGCCAGAATATGATCATAGAGACCTTACTTTTCGATTTTAAAAAGGTTTTACAAGATTATTGTTTACATGTATGCTATATAAAGGTTTGAGGGAGAGGAAAGACTTTCCCTAAGTTCCCCCCCCCCACCACGAATTTGTACATTTCTAGAAGACTCTAAGACTCAATAAAGAAACATTTGAATGCCTTCTATGTGTGTCCAGGTTGAAATCAGTATTACAAAAAAAATAAAATAAGGCCGGCCTAGTGGTGCATTGGTTAAGAGTTGGCTTAGGAGTGCGAGTTCTGAGCAGCAGAACCCCGGTTCAGATCCCACATGGGCCAGTGACGCAGCGACTGAGCTGAGCTGTCGCTGAGCTGCCAACAGGTGGCAGGATGGCTCAGCTGGTGTAACAAGATTGTCTGTTCGATGGTGGGCTATGCCCACCTGCAACTAAGACTGAATTCGGCACCTTGAGCTGAGCTGCCACCGGATGGCTCAGTGGATAGAGCATGCTCTTCACAACAAGGCTGCTGGTTCAACTCCCGCATGGGATGGTGGCTACGCCCACCTGCAACTAAGACTGAATTCAACACCTTGAGCTTAGAGGCCACTAGCTGCCGACGAAGCCAGATGGTGACTGGCGCCCTCCACGGCGAAGATTGAGGAACAATAACTTGGCTGGTCCCCTTTCCCAATTCCGCAACACTGTTCCCCTCCCCAAATTTTCCAATTAAATCTTTAAAAAAAACAAAACAAAACAAAACAAAATTAAATAGTGGATAGGTTCTTGCCCTCATAAACGTACATAGTCATAATCGTAAGGATGATACGTTAAATAGAGCCAGAAAAGAAAAGACTGCAGAGTTAAGGGTGATTTTTGTCATAAATGTATAAATGCTTTGAAAGCCCCTTGTGTCAGTTCATCAACTTATTCCATAAACATTTGTGGAAAGCTATGTTTTATGTATGTACACTGTGCCGGGTACTGGAGATTCAAAGATGGATTATAATTCAGCCCCTGCTCTTGAAGAGTTTACACTGGGAGGAAGGACCATGGTATAGGTTCAGGTATAGGAATAGCCTGGGCAAGGTTAGAGGTAGGATTGTAGTGTACTCTGGAGACTGTCTTGACTGAAACGGAGACTATAACAAGAGAGACTGTGTCCTAAAATATG